ATGAGAAGCAATTGGATATAAGGTACATTATCAAGGTAAACCAACAGGATTTGCTGAGGGGTCAAGTCTGTTGGTCTTTGGAATGAGAAGTGTCATTTACTAAGATAGGGAACATGGGGTGGGACATTCTGGAGATGGGGAAGTTAATGGTTGGGACTGGTTGAATTTGAGATGCCTATTGATAGCCAAATAGAGATATTGAATAAAAAGTTGGATGTATGTATGAGTCTAGAGTTCTATGAAAGTTTGGGGCTTAAGTTAAAGCTTTGGATATGATTTATTTTATTTTTCAAACAAACTCAACACCATAATTAACAGTTACTTTCATTACAGAAAAAACCATATGCCATTGTTGAAAGGAAGCCCAGAATCTTCCCAGTAAGTCTCTAAACTCTTAAACTCTGAATTTTCTTTTAGTCATTATTTGTGCCCCACTTCCAGTGATCATTAGACTAAAATGTTCTTTTCCTCTGTCAGTTTTAAGTGTGTGTTTTCTCTCTCTCTCTCTCTCTCTCTCTCTCTCTCTCTCTCTCTCTCTCTGTGTGTGTGTGTTTTAAATTAGTATGAGGTAGCAACTACAATTGAAAATGGGGAGCGGACACACTAATTTTCAACATTCGTTTTATGACCTCATTTTCCTAAAGTGAGTTGAAGGTATCAACAGATTTTCACTGGTACTGTTTCATGTTGGATGAGGGACTTAGGGCACAAGGCTGAGCAGGCATCTGAGCACAGTGACAGTAACTGCATTTCTATTTTTTTCAAACTCTTAATTTTCTTGTGTGTTTTTTTTTTTTTTTTGGCCTCATTTTCAAAGTTTGACCTGAAGCTCTCTGTGAATTTAAAATACATTAATGTGCTTTTTAAATTTATGCTATTAAGGGAAGAATTTTCTAAAATGAGTTAATTCAACATAAAAGACTACTCACTGATCAGCTGGTATTTTTATTAGCTGTTGGTGAGGTTATTGTTTAGTATAGGAAAATAATACATGTTATGTTCATGTCCATTTCTAGTCAACAGATAATGAATAAACTATCATTAACTGTAAAATCTAATCATGAAACTCAAAATTCATTGACGTATTTCATAATAAATCATTATCTATTACATCAAGGGAATTTAAGGGAAAACCACCACAATTGGCTAACTGTCCTAGTTGTAACTCTGCTTTAGAAAAGAAGAGGATTTCTTCTTTTACTTTCTTATGCATATTTGATGTGTGTTAGGGCCTATGTTGTTTCAAAATAGTAAAATATCTTGCTGCTTTCATCAGTTGGGTAAATTATATTTATTCTTATATTCATATGTTTGCTCATTTTTTATTTTGCCATTTCTATTCAAAAGGTGAGCTGTGTTCAGAAGACCACATCAGTGATTCTATAGCATTTCTTTATTTTGGGGATTTTTTTTTTTCTTCCCTTTGCTGTGGTTTTTTACTGTGTCTGTACTGTTGACTCCCTAAGAATCTCCCTTTTTGAGAACTTGAAGACTGCTTATTTGTACATGTTTTAGAATAGGATAGGCAGTAGCAATCTTGTAAATCTTTGGCTTAACAAAACAAGTTTATTTCTTGTCATCACAAATGAGTGTGGATCAGGCAATCCACCTCAGAGTCTTATAGCTCTGCCTCTGGAAAAGAGATATCCAAGATTGTGGTAGGGGAAGAGAGCACTGGATGTCTAAGGGGATGATTTTTAAAGTAAAAGTTTGGAAGTAGCTTACATTACTTCTCAAATCCTACTGGCCAGAAAGAATTCCCATTGTCCCGAGTGTCTATGTGGTTTTTAATTTTTTTTCTTTTTTGCCATTTCCCTGACTCTCATACATGGTGGAATCTTTGCCACAGTCTGTACTTGCAGTCATCAGATAGTTTTTTACTTTCTTCTCCACATATATATACAGCATACTCAGTTCCTAGGGAGAAATCCCAAAGTCCTATTCCATCATGGTAGCCAGCACAAATTCATGATCTTCAGATAATTCTCAGAAGTATCTGTCAGGTTCAGATGTGATTTTTCTTGATTTGAGGATCAGTGAACCCAAAAGGCAAGTATTTGCCCTAACCACACCCATTGTTCAGTGGTAGACTGTGGGTAGCACAGCAGTCACTGGGTGTGGCGGTTCCGAAATCTTAGTAGTCAAATGCTCCTCTGTGTGCAAAGTTACTTGAATAGGTACTGATTTTGTCTTCTAGATGGAACACCTTTGTTCCTTGTTTTTCCTGGTCCCTAGCTTTAACCATGGGGTTCTTTATTATCAACCTAGACCATCTGTAAATGGATATTGGGAAGCACACTCTCCTTAGCAGTTGTAGAGCCTTTAAAATATGCCTCCTGCTCACAGGTTGAATGCCAGAGGTGGTTTTATTTTCAAACATTCATAGGCTTCTGTAGTCTGTATGTTTGGCATCTTTGGCCATCCATTTCCCTTAACATTCAGCAAGCATAGAAAAATACCTGGTAGATCTCATCTGTTTGCTTCTATATGGAGGTCATCTGAAATAGAATGGTTCAAAGGCTATTTTCACTTCACTCTGGTCTTTGCCATGGGACTGAATCTCTCTTCTTCCTAAGTTTTAATGACATCTGTTGCTCAAAATCTGTTAACCATTACTATTTAGGAATTCCAAAGCAATTTGATTTTCTAGTACTACAAGATCCTGAATTTTTAGATTCTCTCCTTTTATTTCTCCTCTCAAATCATCCACTTCTTTCCCAAGCCCGTGTTTCTTGAAGTACATGCCCAAGGCAGCCAGTAGTATCCAAATACATATATATACTCTTTTTTTCTGAAAAGAAGTTCTCCTAGAACCTCAAGTTCATTAGGCACTTTGCTTCCAAGTTATTATAGGAGATGTTTTGCTAAGTAATTTGCCCTTGCCTTTTGTTTCCATCTTTTTAGCTTTGAGTGCCTGTGCCTTTGGCACCAAATGGCCAAACCAGGGCACTGTGGCTTGACTTTCATTATAGCAGCATTAAATGACTCAAGGCCCCAATTTTTTGCGCTACTGTGGTAACAAATTGTAATCAAAACATATGTGGCTTAAATATAAAACTAGATTGTTTCTTCATCAGATGACAGTTCTGAGCAGCACCGGTTCAGGAAATGGCAGGGTGGGAGTGAGGAATGGGACAGTTCTACTCTACTCAGTCACTTGGGAACTGTCAAACTGACAGAGAATCTGTTTTCTAAAACATATGCCTGAAATTGAAGCTAAGTAATTTGCTGAAAATTATACAGCTTGTTAACAGAGGGTCCAAGATTCTTCATACTTGGTTCTCACTTCAAAGCCCGTGCTCTTTGACCAGATAATGTGAATGCTAATTGTTCCATGCAAGGTCTGAACATAGACTAGAATAAAACTACCACTTCTGCAGACTTTAGATTTTTCTAATAAATACTTCTTCGTTTTCCCAGGGTGATACAATTCTGGAGACTGGAGAAGTAATTCCACCAATGAAAGAATATCCTGATCAACATCACTGATGACTACTTAAAACTTTCAAAGGTTTATGAGCCCAAGTTTGTTCCTATTGTTATATTTACTGAATATACTTCCTGGAAAAGTAACTTAATAAAGTTTATTCTCAGAAAAGTATTGTCATATTTCTTATAAAACATTGTACAACTTGCGATTCTTTGAATAATTTTAACAATAAGTAAAACCCAGAAATGCCAAAAAGTAATCCGGGCCTCCACCTACTTGTTCTGGCCATTTTGACTTGAGAAACAGGATGTAGAAAAGTAATTAGTCACTGATTTTCCCCCCTTACATAGTCTTTACTCCAGTTTTGTTGAGGGTATGCAACAGAGTAAAATATTGCAATAAGAAAATATAAAGACAAATTCCACACTTTTGTTTTTCATATTAAAAAATTTTTGTAGTTGTAGATGGACAGCATGCCGTTTTATTTTTATGTGGTGCTAAGGATGGAACCCAGTGCCTCACATGTGCTAAAAGCAAGTGCTCTGCTACTGAGCTACAAATCCAGTCCCTAGAGTATTTTTAATTAAGTATTTTAGAAACTAGATTGAAAAACTTCTCATTCTATCTCAGTAAGGATGGCCTTAGCCTAAGCAATTCCATTTTAAAAAAACCTACAGTCCCACCAGGCACCAGCTTATAGAGCCCTCCAATATTGTCATCAGGCATAGCCTGATAAAGACAAGTCACTTTCCACAACCCTGATAAAACTCAAAGTTAAGTCACTATCATTTGTCTTCACCCTGATATTGGATGGGAACCACCAAATTGTATGTCCTGACACTGGAATGAAAAAGTCACTAAGAAACCTGGTATCAGCCGATTGGGACTCAAAAGACGAGCAAAAGCCCCAAAATTTAGTATAAATGATGGAGCAAATGTACAGACATTCAGCCAGGCGACACTGATGCCCACATGCCAGAGAACCTGATGAGGACTCAGACATCCCAACCCTTATCTGCCTTATCTTCTGCATAGTCCTCAGTGCTCTCAAATTCTACAGCCACATCTTGACCCTGGTGAGAATGTTGACTTCTCCTTAAGACCCTCTCAACCAGCTGTCAGCTTCACCCCAGGAGAAGACTTTAGAGGTTCCTGACCTGATCACTGCAGTCTGAGTGAGTGCATCTGCTGGACTTACGCCCTAAGGCTTGAGACTTTAAGCTTAGCATGCAGGGGGAATGTCTTTAATAAGTCTGTCACGATTACATACGTTTGCAGTGCTTAGAATTAACTTAGAATTGTTTGCTTTGATTATATGTCTATTGCAGTACCCAGCATTAAAGACTGTCATTTTCTTGATTAAGAATCTATAGAGTGAAATTGAATGATTTGAGTGAATAAAGCATTGAAAAAGGCAGAAGTGCATGGACATTCTTTATTTCCCCCCATCGAATGCAGATGTCGCACCCTTGCCCATCCTGACAATCTCTGGTCTGACACTCAAAAGCTATAAGATCTATTTGAAAAATTATCCTGTTTGTGCTTATTATAAACAACTATACAAAAATAAATCTGGGAAGTGTGGATTTTACTTTTAAATCTACATAGGTGTCAGATAAGCATGAAGAAAAGAATTGTATTGCAGATAATTAAATCCAAAAGAACTACAAGTTTTCATTCATCCCGAAGATTTTGTCTGGGTATTCTTTCCTTAGCTGTCTTTGAGCAGCTACTGTTGAGGCATAGATGACATATCCCCAGGAGAGTAAAACGACAGCAAGCAGCAACTAAAACAAAAAACAAAAAAACCAAGAGGAAGTAAAAGAAGCAAAATATTTATATAAATGAGCGTGGTACTCCTGCTCCCGTCAAGTTACCACGTACCAGGTGAAAACGGGAATTATAGTAACAATCTAATAAATGGGAGTTCTAGGCGAGTACACCCAGCAGCTCTTACGTAAGAAGCGGAAGATCGTGTCCTCCAGGAAGAGGCGGAGTCGAGTTGAGGGAGTGAGACGCTTAATTCAGGGATGGGTTTTAGAGTTTCTGAGCGCTGAAGAATTAGGGGGCCTTCCTCCCGCGGGCCCAGGAAGTCGACATTGTAGGGCCCCGCCAGACACTGGACCTACCACTGAATAAATCCAGTCCAGGGTGCGGCGACTCACTGGCTTCATGGTAAGGAGGCGGCGGTCGTAAACGGGAATGCGCGGAAGCCTCAGGCTCTAAAGAAACCTCCGGGGCGGTGGCTGCTGGGCGGCAGCAGCCATCTTACAACCGGGCGCGAGCGCCCGCCCACGCGCATCTTGGAGCGCTTCCTAAGGGCCCAGCGGCCCACTTCCGCCCGGAGTTGGGCGCGGTCACGTGACCGGTGTTAGCCCGCCTTTCAGCGAGGGGGGTGAAATAAAGGAGAAAAATCTGTTTAAAATTGCTTTTCTGCTGCCAGAGATAGGCATGCCGCAACTGATTTCCTTTACAGATGTAGTGCAGTAGTGACTCAGAAAAATGTGCCATTGTGCGCGTTTAAAAGTTTGAGAAGTAATCCATGTTTTCATGTTACCCCGGTGTCTACGCTGGAAGAATTAACGTTTCCCCTTTGTTACCACATAATATAGAAGGTCGTGTGTTGTTCTTTGACACAAGCAGAAATACCACCATTTTATTTAACAGATGAATTGCTGGCCTCTTTGTTAACTGAACCCTCTGAGATAGTTATTGAGAATGCACAAGCTTGTTGATGTAAATTGTATTTCTAAGAAATATGTGGTGTTACCAGGCATAATGTACAAACCAATCAACAAGTGTTTGTTGAACGTTTGTTATGAGCTTAGAACCACATCTTGTGTGAGCTATTAGGCCCGAAGTACGGMAGTTTGGCTCGCGAGACCGAGTCTTAAGTTCAGTTCTAGAATGTTGGGGACGGTGACGTTTGAGGCCCCAGTGGTAGAATTTGGCAGTGGGCCGCCTTAGCTCAGACGTTCTTTCACGGTATAGCTTAGATACCATTTTAACAGGACTTTAAGCCAGATTTTGGGGAGTGGGAAAGGGAAAATCGGTTCTTAGAAAGAAAAACGTTGTTTGGGGAAGAGTTTGGGTAAGTATTTTTCCTCAAACCACAGATCGAGCCCTCTGAAGACTTTTAAGAATGCTGGTTGGGCTGTGGTTGTGGATCTCACTCGAATTCCGGTGTTAACTTCCTATCTGAGCTATCTGAGGTGGAACACTAGTTCCTTTATACATGGTAGAGATCATTTAGTAACTTCTCCCAGAGTTTGGTGGAGTTTGAATGTTATTTAGTTATTGTGCGTTTTGGGTAAGCTGGGAGCGAACATTTATTGTGTGACCCAGTAACCTCGAGTGATTTATCAATCGTGTGACACAGATCTGTGCCTCACAGGGTCTTGTTGCTCAACCCAGGGGAACTGAGCCAGGGGGGAAGGGCGGTGTCTTGGGTCTAATGCGTTAAACCCCGCCCTCAGTGCCGGCGCTTGTCTACTGCGCATGCGTTACGAAAGCTGCTGCTGTGTTTTGACGCGCCGGGGGTTGGGGGAGTGGGTCTCGCTTTCTGCCCCGCCCCCAAGCTGCTTTTGGTGATGAGCATTTTACGTCACAGGGGTCGCAGCAGCCGCCAGGGTCTCCGCTGTCTCGCGAGGAGGGTGAAGCGCCCCCGCCTACTCCCGCACCGGAGGGTAGGCGGAGAAGTCGCCGGGTACGCCTTCGTGGATCTTGCCGTCACCGACCTAGCCTCCTCGGCCGTGGGGAGCTTGCCTCCAGCGCCGCAGCCGGGCCTGCGCCGGCATCTTCCGAGGTGAGCCAGTTCGGGAACAATGAGGCGCGGGGGTCGGAAGTGCTGGGCGAGCTGGCGCTCCCCTCTGGAGCGAGGCCCTTGCACGAGGGTTTGCGGCCTCGGGCCCCTTACGCCATCTGGGCCTCAGCAGGGTAAAGGGTCCTAGCAGGCGGCTCCTGCTGCGCACCTGTGGATTGGTGCGGGTGGGCGGGTGAGGGTTGCGTTTCCAACTAGCGCTCCCGAGGGGCGCGTGCTTAGCGGTGTACTGGAAAGAGCTTGGACTCTGGGAAAAAACAAACAACCGCTGAGTCTGAATCGTGGCTTTGCCGCTGATAGGGAGTGTGACCTTGGCCAAGTCCCCAAACCGCAGAACCCGTCTGTATAATGGGAATAACTGTTTTAGTTCGTGGTGGTTATGTAATAACACATGATGCATCCTCACCAGCGGCAGTTCTTAACCTAAGGAAGCCACTATCAGGGTGACTATTGGAGTTGTCTGTGCAGTGGTACACATTCTGGGCTGGGCTTGTCTGCCTGTGATTTCATCAACAATCCAGTTAGTTGCAGCTTTCCTCATTCGCAGACTAGAAGAGAACAGTGCTGAGATGAGGTGCACAATGATTTCAGAGGAAAAATGAATAGAATTTATAGTAGGTAATATACCTAGTTATTTAAGACAAATTAGAAGCAGCTCCCCAGGACTTAAGCTAATAATGGTGAGGCTTTTTTGTTTTGGAGGGCCTTTGTTTTTATTACATGAAATCCAAACCTCTGCTGTTGGCCACAGACAACSATGCTTATCTGGAATGAGTGGCATTAGAGGGGAAAGGTTTCTCAAGCATTTCTTTTTTATTGCTGGAATTGAAATGAAATTTGGTAAGATGTGATCAGTAAATTGTATAATTTTGTATACCCTTTTGAAATTGGTGATTACAATGCAGTTCAGAAAGGTGCAGAGATTTTTTTTTTTTTTTAAGTAACGAGTAGGACTGAGATTGTTTTTAATATTTTGGATGTCTTTCTAGTTCATCTACCTGTGAATCTTATTAARGTATATTATGGTTATTTAATTATTATAGACTGTCCTCTGAGCACTTATCAGTTACCAAAATTAACTTTTATTTTCACATGACATAGGGGAACAGTGTTGGGTTCTTTCTGTGTATCAAGAGTTGTGCTGAGTGTTACAGGAAATATATCTCTTCACACAACCACCTTTTCAAGTGAGTTTGAAAAGGTTGCTGTTACTTTGCCATTTTAGAATTGAGAAATTAGGTTTATAATTTAGGGTTTGAGAAATAACTTCCTCCATGTCATACAAGTAAGAAGTGGTTTGATTTTCAACATTGACAAGTGCTTTAGGATTAACATTAATTATTCAAATGTAATCAGATTAGTAAGTTTTATATCCAGTGATAATTTAAGGAATGCTATAGAAGATGACTTTATAGWAAGTCTGGCTTTATAAAATATAATTTTGCAGAGCAGTTTTATTTCATTTTCATAGCACATCTATGACCTTCTTTAGATTCTAGCCTCTCAATTCTTTATTTCCTCCATCTGTTTTCCTTAGATACCTCATGCCTGTTGATTTACCTTTAATTCCCCCTAATTATAACATGAAGAGTTCTTATCCTTGTTAGAACCAGCAAACAGATTTAAAGATTTGATAAAGGAAAGGTTTGGCTTAATCAGTTCATCCTCAAGATGAGAACTTTATTTTGGATTTGGGAGGCTTTTGAAGAAGTGGGGTCAGAAGAACTGATTAATCTCCTCTATGGGGAAATTAATTTGCATTCCTAATTCATAAAGTGCTAGAGAAACCTTTACACAGGTGTTTTTTCAACCTATAGCCCTAAGTGTGTTTACCATTAGGTCCATCTTTACAACCTAAATCTAGAATCTCTCCTGCAAACTTCCCAGTGTCCTAGCCATACCAATTTTATGCCTTAATTTTGTTTTTTAAACACCTTTGTTGAGCTATAACTTATATTCCATCATAAGCTTTGCCTATTCATGTAATTCAGTAGTTTTTAGTTTATTTAGAGTTGTGCAACTATCATCATAATTTAATTGTAGAAAGTTTTCACTATGCCAGAAAGAAACCTCATTACCAGCATTCATTCACTTTAGATTTCCCTATTCTGGACATTTCATATAAATGATATCATACCTTATGTGGGTTTTTTGTGGCTGATTATTTTTTTCATTTGACATTAAAAAAAAGGTTCATCCATTTTGTAACRTGTATCAGTATTTCTTTTTATTGCCAAATAATCCATTTTATATATAAACCACATTTTATTAATTTAATCCTGTTGATGGACATTTTACTTTCCACCTGTGAACTATTATGACTAAGGCTGCTGTGAATATTCACATGCAAATATTTGGACATGTGTTATTTATCTTGGGTAAATATCTAGATGTGGAATTCTTGGGTCATATATGATTTGTTTTAACAAACATTTTAACTTCAGTGATAATTTGGAAGAGGTAATTATCAGCAGATTTGAAATGATTTAAATATGACATATTTGATCTGCTTCATTTATCATAATTTCTGACAAATACCATTCCTTGTAGCTAAAGATATTCCTGTGTAGAAATACGAGAACTCTAAGTTACTCTTTTTACTTATGGTGGAGGATGTTGTTGGTCTGTCTTTAGTCATATGCTGTCAAAGTGGTTGATAGGCTATAAAAACTAGAGAAGAAATGACTTAAGATTTTATTTTTTAAAAAATCAAACTTTTAAAGATTTTGTTCTATTTGAATTTCAAGTTTAATATTAATGTCCAGGCTGGGGTTGTGACTCAGTGGTAGAGTACTTGCCTAGTAGATGCCAGGCACTGGGTTCGATCCTCAGCATCACATAAAGAAAATAAATAACTAAAATAAAGGTATTGTGTCCATCTACAACTAAAAATTAATAAAAAATAATGTCCTTTAATTTATTCTGGGTACCATATTTTTTGGAGGGTGGTAACAAGGGATTGAACTCAATGGCACTCAACCACTGAGCTAATTTCTCCAGCTCTTTTTTGTATTTTATTTAGAGGCAGGGTCTCATTGAGTTGTTTTAGCACCTTGCTTTTGTTGGCTGGCTTTGAATTCGGGGTCCTCCTTGATCCTGCTGCCTCAGCTCCCGAGCCACTGGGATTAAAGTCTTGCACCACCCTCCCAGCCAGGGTAGCAGTTTTTATGTGAACAAGAAATGTTCAGTAAATACTAAAATTCTACCCTCCAAAGAAACAAATTAAGATAAAATGTATTTATTAGAAATTCACCAGCCTTTTTTTTTCAAATATAATAATCCCCTTACCCAGAGGGTAAAATTAAAATATAGAGTTAATGTGAATTTCTTTGTTTTACAGAACTAGTTTTAGGTGAAACCTGGTCTTTAGTCCAGGTCATCTGATAACCCCTTCAGTTCCCTTCCTATTTTTGCCTATTCCTTCCCTCTAAGCCATACACACTATCCCTGGATCCTGCATGTTT